AAAAAAAAAAAAAAAAGAAGAGGCATGATAAGTACATTTCATTTTAACAAAAAAAATTTATAACAAACTATTCTTTGTATTTTTCTAATTGAACATATACGGTCGATGGCTTTTGAAAAATAATAAAGAAACCAACTCTAGAACCACTATATAATTATCAATTAATTTTAAATTAGGTTATATGTACACGCTAGTCTATATGCAATGATTGAAATTTTAAAAATAAAATAAACGATGGGGATGGATTTATTCGGGGAGTCATTATGCCCTTAAAATATAATTAATTATTAATACTAAATTATGTTATTCGAAAGTAATAATATTAGTGAATGTATCCATTGAGATTTTTATATATTATCCCTTCACTTGGTGCTTACTTTTCCAATAACAATCGACCAATAAATAATCAGCGAAATAAAATATAAATAAATAAATAGTAAAGCAATCGTTGGCCTGTTACGATAATATCAACATATATAAGATGTGGAGGATTTGGACTTCTCTTTCTAATAATAATTATAATATAATTATTATTTAATTAATTATTCTTCGAGAAGGAAGACGTTTCAACGTTGATACTCCCACATTCGGCACCGACACCGGCCTAGTAGTCTATCTAAAATTGAGTTTTTCCTATTTTCAAATATATACCGGGTTTGGGTTTGTGTTTGTGTTAGGAATTATGACTTCTTAGATTTATTAATGGGTTGTGTTAGTACTAAGTGGCTTGTGGTTCATTGGTATTGGATTGCTCTTTTATGTGGGACGTCTTAGTTTCAAGTCTCAGTGTAAGTGTAGGTTGTATGATTATTGTCCCTTTTTTTTTTTTTTTTTGTAATAAAAAAAGGATTGTGTTTGTATTTAATTTTAACGGAATATTATTAACTTTGTTACAATGTATTTGTCCATATATATTTTTTGGGATTTGAACCTGTTATCTTCTATTTATGAGAGTTACAATTATGTCGTTTGATCATAATTATTTATAATTTATTTATTTTAAAGAAATTTTTATTCTTTAAAATTTCAATTTCTTCAAAATTATTTTTACAAATTTCATTTTTAATGTGTGTGTGTGTGACAGATCAGAGAACCACATGCCTAGGAGCAGTGTTGCAAAAATCGTGCCTAGGCGCTAGGAGGCCGCCGCGAGTAATGGCCTCGGCGGCCTCTTCCGCGGCCGGCCGGTTCGGCGGTTAGGCGATTTTTTTTTTTTGAAATGTCGGTAAAATTTCGGAAGGCATAACTTTTGACTTGGTTGTCCGATTTGGACAATTTTTTTTTTCAAATCGCGTATTTTTTCGAGATCTATACACCACAAACAGCCAAAGGCAGTTTGGTCCACTAATTTCTCAAAAAAATGCTTCTTTAGCTCTTAATTTTAGTTTTTTATGTATTTAGATGGTTTAAACAATCTTTTGAACACTTTTACAACCACTTTCGTAAATAGTTTCTAAGAAATAACTATGGAAACCTTAGGTTTTATTACTAAATTTTAAAAAAAATTTATTTTTAATTTTATTTTTAATTTAAAAAAAAAAAAAAAAAAAAAAAAAAAAGGCGCCTAGGCGCCCCCTTGCCGCCTAGGGGGCGCCTAACGTGTTTTGCAACATTGCCTAGGAGAGACTGAGAACCAATCACAACCGTCCACGTGTCCAAATTTAACGGATCAGAAACATTATTTTTTACAAAAACACGGTGACATTTTGCAAATAATTGAACTTTGAAGTGCAAGTAAATTGTGTTAAAAGTGCAAGTAACAATTTCATATAGTGCACCGAAGTGCAAGTAAAATGTATTAAAAGTGAAACAAATAATATACATTGAGCATTAATATTAAGTTCACCTAACGTTAACGTTAAGTGCACCAATGTGAAAGATGTTATTATTAGGTGCACCAAAGTTAAAAAGGTAAATTACTTGCACTATTAAGTAAAAATGGTTGCATTTTTAAGTGATTTTACTTGATTTTTTATTTGCACACTTGCACTAGTTACTTGCACTTTTAATACATGTTACTTGTACCAAAGTTCGAGTTTATTTACGATAATGCCGCCACGTTTTTTTTTTTTTTAAAAAATTACATCTGATCCATTAAATCTGGACACGTAAACGACTGCGATTGGTTCTTAGTTCTCTCCTAGACATCCGTTTTCATCTTAGCACGCCCCTATGTGTGTGTATTGCTTATTAAAAATATAAAATTATAATTATTATTACTTGTTTAGTCAAATCTCTAAAATAACAATATTATTCCATTTTTTTTTAATTTCTAGTAAATAAAAACTGCATGGTTATAAAATAAAAAGGTTAAATATAATCATATATCTTTTAATTATTGTCCCTTTATAAACGTCCACATCAAACTTGCGATGAAGCCTACAAGTTGTAACCAATATAATTGACTAGTGATTGGTAGATAAGTCACAAGTGGTAAGCAAGATTACATATAAATTAATATGTGGGTTAGTGTAGTGTCTTTATAATGCTCCACTTCATAATTTTAAGGTTGTCATATATCTCAAATTTCAAATTTAATTTGCTCAAGTATAAACAATCATAACATGTGCAATTAAATGATCTAAGAAGTAGGCTTGTACAACTTAGTTTTACATTTTCTTGTTCTAAAATACGTTTATTTCAATTCTTTGTTGTTTTTTTTTTTTTTTTAAATCTGATTTTCTATTTAGTTTTTTTTTTTTTCCAAATGTACAAGTAAATACATTATTTTTTCTTTAATTTTATGTTTCTTTAAAAAATAGGGAGTTTTTAATTTTAATAGAGAGGCAACTTAGGCTCTGTTTGGCAGAGCTTATTTAGGAGCTTATAGCTTATTTTAAGTTACTAATATGTTATAAGCTCTGTTTGGTAATGTTCTCAAAATAAGCTCCTAGCTTAATATAGGAGCTTATTTTGGAACGCTGGCTTTGTTTGGCAAACCTAGCTGAAAGCTGAAAAGCTATAAGCTCGGAGTTGAAAATTGAAGAGCTGTTAAGCTAGCTATTATGATTGAAAGTGTTTGGTAAAATTAACTTTTTGATAAGCTGATAAATGTAAAAAGACTAAAAAGGACATCTTCATGAAATTTAAATTAGTTTCTTTACATATTAAAATTTAACATTTTGTCTTTAAAAAATTAACATTTTAAAATAAAACTACTAGCATAATCATGATCTAGCATCTCATAATGAAGTAGCAATATTGTTGTGAATCTCATAATAATAATAATAATAATAATAATAATAATAATAATAATAATAATAATAATAATAATAATAATAATAATAATAATAACATTTTAAAATAAGCCCCTAGCTTCCTAACTTTTTTTTTTTCCATCTTTATCCTTATTACTTTAAAGAAATGACACAATTAACCCTTTCCAATTAAAACATTTTTCTCTTCTCCTTTATCCGCAACTTTAACCTCAAATATTATTATTATTATTATTATTATTATTATTATTATTATTATTATTATTATTATTATTACAATATTGCTACTTCATTATGAGATGCTAGATCATGATTATGCTAGTAGTTTTATTTTAAAATGTTAATTTTTTAAAGACAAAATGTTAAATTTTAATATGTAAAGAAACTAATTTAAATTTCATGAAGATGTCCTTTTTAGTCTTTTACATTTATCAGCTTATCAAAAAGCTAATTTTACCAAACACTTTCAATCATAACAGCTAGCTTAACAACTCTTCAGTTTTCAGCTCCGAGCTTATAAGTTTTTAGCTTTCAGCTCCTTTTCAGCTTTCAGCTTCTAGCTTCTAGCTTTTCAGCTAGGTTTGTCAAACAGAGCCTTAAACAATCCTCCATTGACCGTTTTCCAAACACGTATTAGCCACCTACTATTGGGCATCAATCCTGCTGATGTTGTTATTATTATTTTTCGGGTGATAAAGAATTTTGCAATTATTATACCTGATAAATCTTGTTTGCGTAATAATCCGCATACTTCACATGAGATGCATGTATGACAATAGATAAACTCTGTATGGTTGGCTTGACTAAGAGTGTGTTGACAATAATTAAAACTTGTAACATTTTGACACAAAAATCATATTCTATCCCTTCAATCATTTCTTTCACGCCGTTGATGTTATTTGTTATGATGATAAATGGACACTTTTTGTCAAATTTTCAGTGGGAAAAGAAAAGAAAAGAAAATTTTTAAAACATAGAAATAGAAAATAAAGACCGTGACAATCAATGTATGGGCAATCCCTAATTTTTGCCAAAGAAAAAAAGACAAAACAAAAGAGAAGAGAAACATCCTCCCATTGTCACCTTCTGCCCACCTCCCATTATTTCCCATCAGTCGTCTCCGTGATGTCTACTACCACCGCCACCTCTACCCACCACTCACCAAAACCTCTCACCTAATTAAAAACCGAAAAAGACTCCCATACACTATTCTTTATCAGAATAGGACAGCTTAATTACTATGAGATATGGATGAGTTTTGTTTAATGTCACCAAACTTCGTATACCAATTCATTTAAATTTTAAACGTTAAATCGGGTTTCGTTTAACGTGACCACACTTTAATTTATCAAAGTATTAACTTTTACAAGTTGATGCTTAGATTGAATTCAATATAGTGGAATCTGCTTTGGCCTTTGGACATAAAGAGGCCATACCATGAAAGATTAGATAAGACTAAGGGAGCATTTGAAGAGTACAAGAAAAGAAGGGACCACCAGGCACCAACAATTGAATGCATTTATGAAATGGTCCCTTTGCTTGCACAGAAGTCTATCCCCGGATAGTGAAAGGAGAATAAAATAAAAATACCCAAATCACTCAGTTGATTCTTGACTGATAGATTATCGGCATAGACACAAGATTGAGCTCTGACAACCTTAGTGTCAGAGTTAGATTCTTTGTGGAATCAAACACTGGTCCTCCCACTTAGTTTACTGTTAGGTCGGGCCGGATGTGGAGGCTTTAAAGGCGAGAGAATTTCGCCTTTTGTGTGGGCAAGGTGAGAATAAAATAGAGAAATCCATTACACTCATATGCAGTGGAGAAGAAACCAGATGCCTTTTAGTTTTCAAAATTTTGGTACATCATAGTAATCACATCTTCACCTTCTCTACACAAGCTTAGACATGAAATCTTTAATTGGATGGAGGGAACCAAGGACTGAAGCTTTGTACCCATGATTCACTAAACAACTAGGGGGCTTTTTACAGGTATGATAAGAGCAGGAGGGGGGGGGGGGGGGGGGATCAAAACAAGAGAAGACATAATACTACACAACAGCAAAGGAAAAAACACAGCCTGCCAAGTGATCTATCAGCCTGCAGAATTTGCCTTCTCTGCCTTGGAGTAGAGCCACCAGCAGCCAGATGATAAGAGTTGGGATACGTGTATAAGTTCGATCCCGAGTTCCTAAACATCCCTGAATAAACCATTTCCCCAATCATCCCAATCATTGGATGGTTCAGTGCATTAGTTGCAGTGCCACTGAGGTTAAGCATGGGCGGGACGCTGTAACTGCCAGGATAAGGCTGGTACGATGGAGCGTTCTGTGGATAGCCTCGGTGATGGAGATATTGGGAACCGTTGGGGGTTGCAGCCGGTATCAGGACATGACCCTGACCCTGACCCTGACCACCCCATCTTGGACTTGGAGGCCTCTGTGGTATCACAATGCCAAGATTGGGAGCCTTCTTTGTGGTTAGGCCACGGCCATAGAGAGGAATCAAGGTCTTCTCTGAAACTTCGGCCTTGCAAACAGGGCACTGTGGGTGTTGGTGATCACCATCTTCAGCACAGTTATTCTGGGAATGCATCCATTTGTATATGCAGGGCCAACAGTAGAGATGGCCGCAGATCGTAACCACTGGATCCTGCACAAGATCCAGGCAAATATTGCAGTCGAAACCTCCAGATGGATTGCTTTCCAACTCATCCGCCCCGGGTGCGAGGGATTTCCACCTCTCGCTCAAGGGGATTGGCGCAACCTGTCGTTGGACCTGATGTTCCATTGCCATTCACGAGTTTCCTGAAGAACAAAACCGAAAATTTGTCAGATTTGTTCTGAAAGAGAACACGCAATTACTATGATGCACCAAGATCATAACACCAATATGAGCATTTAAGCACCAACCGCGTGATGGATTGTCACAAAACTGATAATAAAGTAGGGAAGAGGAACCAAACAATCACAGCATTTACAATAACTCTATCCTCTCAACGCCTACCCAACTACCAATTTCTTTCAAATTAAATGCACATGCAGCAATAAATCTTCTAAAAGAAGGCAGCAACTAAATTCCCTCAATTCTGCAAAACAAAAAGCACCCAAATAGTGCATAACGTGGAATCACTGTTATGGCACCATGTGGATCCACCACCTACACTCATACACCCAGTCCAGTTTCTTCATCAAGAATAAACTTTTTTGGCCAGAAATTTAGTTAATGGAAGCAAAGAATATCAACCCCTTTTCCATATTCCTTTTATGCTCAAAGATAATTAGTATAATTAGTATGTTATTGAAGAACACAAGGAAATTCAAAGATCTGATTCAGATGAATGGGTGATTCATGTGGCTTACAATAGATCTGTAGGTATGATGCAAAAAGATTCATTGATTTTGGTACTAAACTCAGAAGAGGAAACCCTCATCTTTATCCAAATAATTATACCCCGAAGAAACAAAATTTAGTACTAAAACAACAAAACCAGGTGCGAAAAACAAGGTGTGAACTAACAGTTTTAGGCAAAACATACAGCATAATTGTTAATTAGGCCAGCCGACAGATTTCAGGCTTAAGGCTTAAGATACGAGTACTCATCTTCACTCAAAAGCATCAAAAGCTTGGAAATTACCGGCCAAACCAGACCAACACATAAAACATCATCAGAAAAGACACAGACATACATAAAACTACAAGATTAAGAAACCACAACTAGTGCAAATCCCTGCAGCCTGCAAACTACTTACAAATTGGTACTAGGATTCCAAACGAAATCCAAAAATTCGATCTTTTCTCCAGAAGATTGATGGGTATTAAACCAAAAACTACCGCCTAGACTTAAACAATTCAAATAATGAACAGCACCACAAGCGCACACAGAAAACACACAGAACCCTCATATAAAGGGAAAGAAGTCGCATACCAAGATTAGAGTGTGGGTAGAGTTGAAGAACGCCGGGGAGCTTGAAATGAACGGTGAATCAAGAGAGCGGGTTCTTAAGGATTATAGTGAGAGAGTTATCCGCAGAGGTTAGAATGGAGCAGAGAAGATGAAAGAAATAGGTTGAATGAAGGCGGTATTATATATGGAGTAGGAAACCGCAATGGTATAAACAGAGAGTTGTTCTGGATAAACTATGATTTGTAATATGTATTATGTAGGCCACTCCTTACGTCGTCTCCAACGTGGCATTTACGTTGCCTTTTCATGTGACTCTACCGCCGGACCCTACCCTAAGTAACGTACCGACGTGGTAACGAACTATTGGTGTCACGATTTTTTATTTTTTGGAAATTTTAAAGCGGAGATTTTTCATTCGTACACGCTCTTTCTTTGATAATGTTGTACACTCCTATTTTATCGCAGCTCAAACCCAAATTTGGTCGTCTCAAGTTGATTTTTGACCGAGCAGCTTTCGTGCGGCTCACGAGCAACTTGACTCGTTTGCGCCCCTAGTGCCTAGTATTTTATCATATCATGGAGTAAATGTTTTGTGAGTGACAATTGTAAAGGTGCGTAGCATTTTCTTTCTGAGTAATATTATCAGTACTAAATGTTTCATCGTTTGCGATAACATAGTATGATTGATTATCTAACAAAGTAACATATTACTTTTATAATTAGTCAACTATAACGTATTACATTTTCTAACACGGAGTTGAATAGATTAATGAAATGTATCAGATATATTTCTAATAACTAGATAAATTTCATCTAAAGTGATTTTTTTTTTTGTTCTATGATGATCAAATTATGAAAATATCAATTTAATAACTGATGAATTACAACATGTTACACTCCCACTAAATAGTAATTTCAAACCTTTCTTCATGTTAAATATTCAATTTTATATGATATCTTTACTTTTTTTTTTATACTTTTTTTTTATTAGTGACGAGGAAAACAAGTGGTCACTAGTCAAGAGAGGTAACAAATTATTGGTGCCACGTTTTTTTATAAGTTTCTAAAGCAAAAATTTTGCATACATACACGCTCTTTATTATGACAATGCTATACACCTCTACTTTTACCACGCGCAACAAACACCACTCCCAATTATATAATATTAAAGATTAAAAATTAAATTAAATTAAAAAAAAATAGTGTCAAGTAATGGGTGTAAACGAGCCGATCCAAGTTCAACTCTTAGGTTGACTCGAGTTCAAGTTCGAAAAAATTTATGGCGGCTTAAACTCGAATTTGACCGATCTCGAATTGAGTTTAGACCGAGCGGCTTCCGTGCGGCTCACGAGCGACTTAATTCATTTATACCCCAAATGTCTAGTATGTTGTCATGTCATGGAGTATGCACATGTTCTGTGAGTGACAATTGTAAGGGTGTGCAGCATTTTCATTTCGGGTGATATTATTGACACTAAATATTTATTCGATTACGATAACATAGTATGATTGATTATCTAAAAAAGTATCGTATTAATTTTATAGTATACCAATTATAACGTATCATACTTTTCAACACTAGGTTGAATAGATTAACAAAATGTACCATATATATTTATGACACGATAAATTTCATCTAAAAATGATATATTTTTGTTATATATGATGATGATCAAATTATGAAAATATCAATTTAATTAGATGATGATGAATTATGACATATTACATCCCCGATAAATTGTATTTCAAACATTTTCCCGTGTCAAATACTTAATCTGTCTCATTTTATATGTCATACTTATTATTTATTGGTCAAACCAATTCTTTCTTCTTTGTTTTTTTTAGTATTTTTTTTTTGTGTTTAATAGTACTTTTAGTGTAGTTTCTAAATATATAAATTTTGTATACTAATACTAAATTTAATATTATGAAAAATTAGATTAAAAATAATTTCAATCACGCCTCTCGTTAATCGAACCAGACACATAAAATGAAACGGAAGTAATATAATTTAATTTCTCAATCCAATTTTATATGGGATCTTTATTTTCTTTTATTGGTGACGAAAAAAATCAACGCCCACTATTAATGCTGAGTAAACTTTACTCCTATGTAATATCTTGGTCTTATGTAACAAACCATAATAACAATAGTCATATCATCCTCAATAAATTTCTAACAGGGAATTGGATATCAACATGATGCACCTAAAAAACAGTAATAATGTAAATTTAACCTTAAGATACCAATATGCCATATAAAATGAAACAGGAAAAAATACTTAATTTGACATGATAAGATTGCAGTGTCACATGTCATATCATATAGATAACATTCAATCAAATAAATAAAATGATAAAAAAAAAAAGGTATCTTTAAATAAATTATGTTTATTACTTTATTACTAAAATCAGTAAAATGTCCAATAAAAATTTTAAAAACAACCACTAGAAAATACATAAAATATTTTTCTTCTCCAAAATGTTGAATCCCCAATTTTAAAGGGCCCCGACACCTAGTTCAACACAGCATTTGGGATGATGTAAATCACGGTGATTCAATAGCTCAGCATACATGGTCAAATACCGATGCGCACAAAAAATTTACCCACTTTAGACACAAGAGTTCAAACATTAATCTTTTCTCCTAAATATTGTCTACTGAACCATTGAGCTATGAATATGCGAATATACATAACATATTTTTGTCTCAAATAATAGAGGTTAGATGTCGAATTCATGAATCTCTATGTAGGAGCCTAAGCCCTAATGGGGTTGTTGCACCTAAATTCCACCATTTTGGTGGTTAGAGCCTCGCTATTATAGAAGTAGATTACTTTATTTATTTATTTATTACTATTATTATTATTTATTATTATTATTATTATTATTATTATTATTATTATTATTATTATTATTATTATTATTATTATTATTATTATTATTATTATTATTATCAATTAGAAGAAATAAATTAAAATAAATAATTTCTAATAATTCAAAGTAGTTTACAAGAAATAACCTATAAATCAAAGTTAGTATTTTATATTATTTTATAAAAAAAAAAACGTATAAATAGAACCAATAATAGGGTTTTGCTCATTTTATAATCAAAATAAACAACAGTTCTTTTAACTTGATATATATTTGCATTATGTTAGATAAACTATATCACATACTAAACCAATCATTAATTCATTATATTATGGAATATAAGGTGAACCACTGAAATATATGTTCATTTTAATTTTAATATGTTTCAAGTTTATATATATATATATATATATATATATATATATATATATATATATATATATATATAATACAATAAAAATAAAACTTAATATACTAAAAATAAATATTTATAATTGATTTACCATTCGACATGAATATGCCCTACTAAACCATACATATCCCTCTTTTCTTTCTTTCTTTTTTTTTTTTTTGGGGGGGGGGGGGGGGGGGGGGGTCGGGCGGTAATTAAACAAAAAATTGTGCATAAAAAATTTGTTTGATTTTGCAAGTTGGCAAATGGGAAGTTGAGTTCAAAACGGTAAGTACCTTCTATATCACACAATTTTATCAAGAAATGAGTTATATGAAGAAATATTAGGCAAATTAAAACCAATTTTGCTATTTTAGACTAAGTTGATGTGACATTTCAAGTTGGCCTCTTGTGCTATATTAAGTGATGCTATCGATTAAAAATATAGAGTCACTAACTTGTGAGACGAGCTTACAGAATTATCTGTGAAACGAGTTTGGTCAAGATAGAAATGTAATATTTATGTTGAAAAATATAATACTAATAAAAAATATAATATTTGTTACTTATAAAGAAAATTGTAATATTTTTAGATGAAAATGTAAAAGTATTACATTTTCCTTTATAAATAACAAATACTTTATTCTTGATTAGTATTATGTTTTTTCCATATAAATATTACATTTTCATATTGATCTGGATCGTCGCACGAATAAGGATATGTCCGATGGTGTCACACAATATTTGTCAAAAATCTTACTCTATATAATAGCAAAATGTTTTTGCCACATCATTTTCCCGCCTAAATAATAAGGCGTCGTTTGGACTGTTATTAATTTTCATATTTATGAACCCATTGGATGACTACTATTGTAACTTTCCATGTGTATTAATTGTTTTAACATTTGTTCAAATTTATTATTAGAACATTTGGAATCCGCATAGCCATAGGGATGGCTTATCATACGTACATCATTTTCAGATCTGTGAATCCGTTGGATGACTACTATTGCAACTTTCAATGTGTATTAATTGTTTTAACATTTGTTCGAATTTATTATTATAACCTTTGGAATTCGCACAGCCACATGAATTGTTTATCATATGTACAGTGATCATTTTGAAAAAAAAAATTAATATAATAACATTGATTCAAGATATATAGATACCAGAATAACATACACACGTATTTAATGAATCAACATATATAAAATAAAAATAAAAAATGTAATAATATAGTCAGTTTTTTCCAATACTAATTGCAGAATATGTATAGTCCCACTTTTGAAATGCCCCTTGAAAATTGTTCAATATTCTAATCAAATTAATAACAAAGCATTAATGGAGAGGCACAATTGCTACTCAAAAGAATGGTATAAATATGCACTAATCCGAGAGTGTTCTTCACCATTGAAACTTTCTGCAAAAAAAAAAAAAAAAAAAAAAAAAAAAAAAAAAAAAAACTCTACAAAAATACTTTTCCAATACTATCTTGCATCTCAGGTTAGCCGTATGCACACCCGGGGAGCAATCCGGGTGCGTTTGGTGAGAACTTATAAAGTCCCTGAATTACGTGGAGGAGCACCGACAAGCACAATAATCCAAATGTTGAATTATTAAAAAAAATATTTTGCTATTACATAGAATAAGAAGATTATTAAATAATCTTAAATTATTAAGAGGCCATATTTAATGACCATGCATCGCACAGGAAACTTACTAGTTAATTATATAACAAAAAAGTTTAGTTACAAATCAGTTAAAATGGATCACATCACGTGACTTATCTTTTGTATTATTTTCAACGAGTAGTTGAATTCGAGAACTTTGCATCCGTTAAATACGTTCAGTGCATGATTGTCCGTGTAACAAAAGTTTTCTTTTCCTATTTCCTATATAAATTCCATGTGCTATACGGTTACTACTTAGCAGTAATTTTCTGTTCCCAATAGGTAAAAATGAATATAGCTTAAAAATGTAAGGGACTTTCAAACTTTTTTCCATTTAAAAATAATACTTTTTATTTTATGTTTTTATTTATTAAAAAGTAAAATA